AAATTGCCTTTAACTAAAGATATTCTACAGCTGAACACATTTGTCTTCAAACCACACTCCGCTCAAGGCTGTAAGCACTGGCGGTACTGCTGTCGCAACCTGAATTCGAAGCGACAACTGGGTTTCCTCTTCGGGCGACAAGGAAAAGACACTAACTTCAATTTGACAGTAAAAACAGTCACAATAAATTTCCTATTTCTCTTTGTTTTGTTGTGTTTTATTGAAGTTTACAAAGCAAGTGGCTCAGTAGGTAATTTGCATGATGACGTCATTTGACTACAACAACCAGAATCCTTTACTTTTTTCCAAGGTGACTCTGAAGAAATTAAAGTCACTCTGAGTGTTTTGTAATAAAGAGTTGAGTCGGCATTAAAACAACCCCTTCACTGGCCACCAGTTACGTTTATCTCAACTTCTCTTAGAAATTGTAAAAAAGAAGGTAGTTTGTCGACTATCTGTTCTGGTTCCCAGTCATTTCCTTCAGCAAGCGCTTGGTCCCATTCCTCACAATGAAGATGTATGTCAGTCTACGCGGCAAAAGAAAGCATAATAAATTAAAATTAAATTATTTTCTTACTTTGAGTGAGTGAGGGAGAGTGCACGAGTAATCGAGATAGAATTTTTAGAGCAGTGCAGCTGCAATGCAGTATGGGAAGTACTTGCAACGTTTCCTCAGCGTTTCCTTACACTGCGCACATTACATTACATTTACAGTCCTTTATACATTACTTTATACATTACAACGCTTGCTATTAACAACACAGTACTTAAATCTACTTAAAATAAGCTACATTACTAGTTTGTATCTATCAATGCGTACAAAATTTTATTTTACATTAATTACCTACTTACATTACTTACTGCAATGAGCTATATCACTTACTTACAAATATCACTTACGAATAAACCAATCAAAATCATAGTTGCTGTGGTTAGGAGCTGAGAATTACGGTATCGAAAAGATACACTTATAAAATTTAATGTTAAGTGAAAAACGTATGACGAACAACTTGCAGCAGAAAAAGAACTTTTTTGATCAGTCCTTTGCGTATTGAAATGCTTCATATTAACCGGCGAGTTTTAAGCCAGGAAGCCGTTTTATGTATCTAAACTTTCTGAGTACAGTGCACGTTCTGCCCTACATCCAGTGTCCTCTGGTATTCAGCGGTTCGTAACATTATCCTCAAGGGAACAGAGCGCTAGCGCTTGGAATAAAAGGGGGGTGGTGACGCAGGTCTCTCCTCGTTTAAGTGGCAGCCGCTAGCGATGAAAATAAACCTGCGTAGAAAACGAGTTCTAATGCCAAAAAAGGTCCCTGCAGTCACGACGATACGCTCGTTCTCATCTCCTTGCCCGAGAAAATGGAATTGTTTCAAGAAAGTAATAATTGTGGGAAATAATTTTTGTTTGGATGCAAAGGAGGAGGAGATGTTCCAAGAAGGGACGAGGTTGCCACGAGGCATCCTGATCACAAAATTTATGGGAAATCAGACAATGAAAATAACGAGAGAATAACAGGATTACGAGAAAACGCCAACCGTTCACAGCAGGAAAAAAAGCTCTTCACCCTAAAAGTCACGCAAGAACTCATGACCTAGTTACTCCAAGGGAAGGGAAAGTTATAAACCTAATTCTAGACCAAACAGTCCTTTGGAGCGATACCCATATAGGAGAGTACCCCACCCCTCCAGGGCAATGAAAAAGACTGAAAAAAAGATATCTAATTACGTGGATAACCCAAAGTTGTCAAGTTTGGCTCAAGCACTCTGAAATTTCGCAAACACAGAATCGCTTTACAAATTCACAAAGTCGAGGAAGCCAGATTTTTTTTTCTTTTTTTGCTCCACATTGTTCCTTTAAACTTTCACATCAAATCAAAAACAGTATCATGTCATGGAGAATTAAATAGCATTACTGACCTTTGTGGCTACAGTATGAAAGTCCTTCACTTCAGTCTCGATGGGATCCGCGGTATTTGCTTGATCTTTACAAACAATCAAGCTGAACTGTTCTCCATCTATTTCACACTGGTAAGTTTTCCTCAGACTGCGGCGCTGGTAAAACAGGTCAAACCCGTCTGGACGCTCGGAGACTGGTGGCAACACCAGCTGACCATCTTCAATCTTCATTCCCACCAGGTAACTTTCTAGAATTTTGTCTTCTTCTTCAGCTTCTGGTGTTTTTGCGACATAGCTTCTGCCTAGAATAAACAGTGCAGAATGGAGATTACGGTTTTGGCCCAATTAATTTAAGTTGTCCAACTCATGTAAATCGCAATTTCATGGGTGGGCAAGGTGAACCAAATACTGCGCTGTGATTGGCTACCCGAGCAGGCAAGATGGCGTTATCGGGATTACGCGCTTTGTACCACAAAAACAACTAGTTTTTCTACTAGCTTCTTCTCCATCTCGGTCCATAAATACGCAAAAATGAACTTGGCCAATATCCAGCCATCTTGACCTCACGCTTGGTCAGTTATCCATATATGTTTTTAAGCGTGTAACAACAAGCGAATCTATTTGCATTATAGGTTTTTTTTGGTTTATGACATAGTGAAAAGTAAAAGTAACAAATTTTAGAGTTCTTTCTTACATGTTCTTATTAACAAACGGTAGTCAAATTTCTTGGAAGCCATCAAGATGTCTACTTTCATTTTGTGCTGATACTGAGAGCACATGTAAAAACATGGCGTGTTTGATGAATCACCCTGCCCATCAGGCAACGCGCGAGTCAAGATGTTCTTGACACGAATTGGTGCATTGCGAGAGAACGCCATGGAGGTTGTCTCGTCGTCTTCTTGTGCAGCATCCTTCTCAGTAAGCCATGCCTAGAAAGGTAAAAAAGTCTTAGTTGCACACTGCAAAGTAGAAACAAAACGTTCGCGACACATTCATTTATTATAATAATGGAGAAAGAACTATTTTAATTTCTGTTATTTCCTGGTGTGTACTGCTCTCTAAAGAGACATTTTACATTTTATAGTTTGACGTAAACTTTAAAGGAGCACAGTCATAGTGTTTTGAGTTATTTTGGCCACGTAAAAGATAACTTTTAAATTAAGGAAAACCTGAAAATAGTAGTCTACTAAGATAGAAAAACACCGAAGAGACAATAATAAAACATAAAGGAACAAGGGTGGTTACGGATGGAGAAGTTTGCTAGAAAAATCTGATCCTCTACAGTGACATTTTATCAAACACAGCACAGCTATTTAAAAAATCAACCAGACTGTTCCATGGTCTTAAAAAGACCATAGAGGTGATGACAACAAAACTCAAGTGGAATCACAAGTTGCAGGATAATTAATCAGTCCTTTTCTTATTTAAGGAACCCTTTAATACGACCACCCCGTTAATATGGCCAGATTTTTGTGGCCCATTAGATTAACGGGGTTCCACTGTATTACCAAAATCACGGCTATTTCTCAAGTTCTCGAAAGCTACCTCATCATTTTCATCGTCTATTGTTTTATCCATGCGTGATCATAGTTCTCGACCGATGAGTGCGAAAGAAATCTCTTAGTTATTGTGAGAATAATTATCTCTTACTCATTTAACAAATAATTTCTGGAATTCAAAGTAAAACAACCAAAATTGTACCTTAACACGAACATCTCTGCAAGAGGGAGTGAGGAAGGTAAAGTCATATCTGATGTCTTCCTTAACTGCATGGGATTCCAGATGCTTCTCAATTCGCTCAATTTCTGTATCGTCTAAGCCACCTTCGAAGATTGAGGTCTTCCAGCTTCCTTCTTCCTCGAGTTTTTCTTTGATTTCGGCAAGAGTGAAATAGTCCTCTTCTTCATCGGCTGAATCAATAGAAAAAAATATTACTCCCTAGGTGAACATTTCAATATAGCTATAAGCCAACGAAAAATCCAGTGCTTGTTTCGTTAAAGATACTTTTCGGATACTTCTCAATCACGTTTGTATACCAAATGCATGGTGCAGGAAAACTTGACTGAAGACACATTACAACGTGTCCTTGTTATCTTGTACTTAATCCACAAGTGCAGTTAGGTGCAGTCAGTTATTCTTAGAGATATATGTTTTTCTCACAATGGCTTTTATGTCCATGTTTTGCGGATACATTTTGAGCTATTTTGCATGGGTCAACTCAACTTTAATTTACCATACTAAACGATCGTTTCATTAACCGCGGAAAAAATTAAACAATATTACAACATTTGTGCAATTCGGCCACCATTCTTTTCATGTAAGAGTTTCATAATCCTACTGAAATGCCATTCGGTTGTGAGGAGATACTTCGTCAACATACAAAAGCCGCATTAAAGTATAGTATACATTATGTCGTAACTAAGCTCAATAAGCCGCCAATGTATTCCTAGCTTCTACTAGCGGTTACTTGTGTGCTAATTTCTTTATTGTATCACTTTGAAATTCCAATTCAAAGAATAAACCCTGCTGAGTGAAACTTTCGCATCTTTCTCTCACCTTCGCCTACTTCCTTTATGTAGGCATGGCCGAGGTGACACCATATAACTACTTTTAGCGTCTCCTCTTCCTTTTCTTTGTGAATGTTCTTTAACACCATGAGGAGTTCAGCTCTCAATTTGTCTATGTCAGTGAAGCCATCCTGTTCATCCTGTAAAAAGTACATGAACATGTCAGATGTTTAATTAGTCTACAAACCTATAAGACTAATAATAGTGTAAAGAGGTGGTCGCTTCCACATCATAATCAAGCTTTGACTAAAATTACCCCCAAGGGGGTTCTTCCTTATATGGGCTTTATAGGTATGTGCGGGGCCCAAAAAGTATGTTTTTTGAGCAGTTTTGGTCAGAAATAGGCTATCGATTTTGGCCATGTTGATCTTAAATAGGGTATGGCTATTACACTCTGGTCTTGAATTGGGTACGTTTTTTAGAAGAAGCCACTCTTTCATCATTGTCGATAAGACTATCAACAAAAACCCTTCACAATGCCTTTAACATCAGTCTGAGCTAGGGAACTAATTGTAAGGCAGGTCTGAAACAGGGTATTGATTAAGAGTCAAGTCTTAGATAGGGTATCAAATTTTTGTTCAGCTCATGATTAGAGTGGCGAAAATTGCAGATTTTGGTCTGAAATAGGTTAAGGGTTTTGGGGAGCGGGCAACACACCTCCACCAATTTTTTTTCTGGTAGTACCCTTCGCGGGAAAATCACCTTCATATCTTGTGGGCAATGGTCTAGTTGTTTCAGTTGATAGTATTTAGTTTCGTCAGCGCTATCGTCATTGTTTGGAGGTTGCACGACGGAGAGCTCAAACTTGCGGTTCAGGTCTAACTGGGTTGTGTCCACGTGAACACGCCGCACTTGATGTTGTTGACCAGCCTGTGAGAGTCTCATCAAATTGTTCTTGAGTAAAACAAAATCACAAATGACTATAATCAATGGAAATATAGATTGGATTGGGTCTGAAAAGTAACGTGATCAATTGAATTCTCATTTGGCATCGACCTGCAACGGTAAGAATTTAATTTAGAGAAGTTCTGATTTAATCTAAAGGTCAGTCCTCGTTCACTTAGTCACTAGAGTAACCTGACAAAAATCTGGGGGAGGGGGAAGGGAATGAGTAAGATGAGCTCCAGTAGCATCCGTACGATTAGTAATACAGTTTATTAAAAACTGTACCCAGTTTATTTTAAAAAACTGGACCATTGGATAATGCAACTCGAGAGTTTTCATTGGCTTAGGGCTGCCGCACACGAGCCGATTTTTCGTCGTAGAACTGCAGATTTTTTGTCGGGGTTAAATCGGGTTAAAATTTGTCGGGCCATCAGCTTGCCGCACACTAGCCGATGTTTTTGTCGCCACTAACCGCGTTGAGGCTTGAAGCCGAGTCGTCTAAAATCAAGATGGCGCCTATTTCATTGACGTGACTCTCATGACATTTCCTAATTGGTTGAGGCGCGCTAGGCTCGATTTCCGCCGCTTTCTCGACTCCGGTACGGTCTACGTCCTTTTCGTGGAAGGAGCGCGGGCTCCTTTCCCGAACAGCGGCTGGTAATCGAGCCTAGAGGCGCGCGCGACCCCGACAAATTGTGTCTTGGTCCACCGCACACTAGCCGAAAAGGCCCGACAAGACGTTTTGAGATCTAGCACTGTCAGATATCGCCCGTCAAGCCTCGCTCTTGTCTCAGACTTGTCTGAATTCACCGCGCACTAGCCGACAAGTGAAGATTTTTTGTCGGCCGACAAAAAATCGGCTAGGGTGCGGCGGCCTTTAGCCACCGTTGTTTATGGCCATTATATATGCTCTACAAATATGGTAAGCGCACCTGTGAATTTTTAGGGCGTTTGAATTTTTGTTTTAGTTTGGTTTTCTCTATTTTGGGGGCATTTGTAATAAAACAATTATTCCACTCGCCCTAGCTCGTTGGATATGAGATGTTTATAGCCAACTCAGCGCTACGTGCCTCGTTGCAATTGTCTATCTACCATCTCATATCTAAAGCGCCGGAGCTCGAGGAATAATTGTTAAATAACCTGTATCAACTCAAGCGGACACCTATGGGACCCTCGCTATATAGTGTGCGCGTGCTTAACAGGAGTTAATTTGCTTAATAAGGTGTAGTATTACGGAAGATATGTGAAGAAAGGTTTAGGACCTACTTAGACCGTTGTCGACTCATTGTAAGGTTCGCTTTATACGGCTGTCGTGCGGTATTCTCCTCTTTGCTTCACATTAGAACTCAAGCAGATCGCGTTAAGGATCAACACGATCAACCTGCACGTCTGCTGTATGGATTCCGTAATAGCAAGACTTACCACTTGTTCCTTTATTTTCCGAATAGCTCTCTTTTGGCTCTCAGGAGATCCCTTGATACAGAGGTCATTCCATTCCCAGACCTTCAAAGTTGCCCCAGTCTTTTGTTCTATTTTGTCTAAATGTTCGCGCCTTTTTCCAATGACTTGACCCATATACTCCTCGGGTATAAAGTCCAGTTTTTTCCAAGAGACTTGATCAGGGCTGCCTTCTCCCTGCGTATCGAATAAGAGAGCTTAAATTAACAAGCTAGAACATATGAAAAAGGAATTGCTAAACAAGGAAGGGATCATAGAATGTAAGTAGGAAAGTAGGCAGCCAGCCAGCCGGCCTTACACGAGGCAGGCATACGGGCGCACAAACATACCACGATTATCAGGTGAATAAGGTGAGACGAAAGTTTGGTAACTAGGTTTTAACGTTCAATTTGTGTTGTTGTCATGGGCAACTGGCTCCGTTTCCAGTGGCAACTTGTCGGCCTTGGACGTCATTGGCAGTAAAGTGCGCGAATTTGCAGGCGACGACATTGCTACAATTGGAAACGAGGAAGGTTGCCCGTGGCAAGACCGTAATTTTAAGTCCAAAACTTCGTCGCCCAATAGTAGTAAAGGCGGACAGGTAACAGGTAAGGCAAACAGGCAGGCAGAGAGGCTGACAGACATACATACAGACAGACAGACAAACAGACAGACAGACAGATAGATAGAAAGACAGAAAGGGAACGTCACAGGCAGGCAGGTAGAAATTAAACTGAATGAATAAGGAAGAGGGTGAATGAATACGAATGAATGGTAAAAAAAGAACATTTGCCGCCATGACGTACACGTAAGATCCTGTAAATTAACGTTTTAGCTTTGATACGCTGTTCTTTTGTTCCTGTTATACGAACTTGGCGGTCTATGATGTCCAGTGCTTGAACTCCACTTCGTTCGACTATATCATTTCTTCTCCACCCCTTTCTCCCTATAACAAGTCCCACTTTGTTCTCGGGGATTTGTACCATTTCTTCTTGGTCATTATGTGCAGCTTTATCATTCAAGCTGAAGCTTGGCACGCCTTGTCTTATTCCGCTTCTTGGATTGCCGGTGTTTTTTTGGGTCCTGGATTCTTTAGCTGCCTGTGAATCACGTGACATGACTAACAAGCTAAGAAAAGCTAAGAAAAAAAGGAAAGTATTAAATCTCCTTGCCAAGTGGAGTCGTAAAGCAAACGCCAATTGTGATTGCTTTGGTTTAAAGCTGACGGTTCAGTTTGGTCATTTTTCCTTCGTCTTATTCACCTATCAATGTTGGTTGACAAAGAAGGCAAACAAACAAACAATTAAAAACATTAAATAAAATAAATTTATATAAAATAAATATATTAAAAATAATAAAATTTAATTCATAATTTAAATAATAATAAAATGATGATAGAAAGACTGAAAATGGATAACAGGTCAGATTTTCAACGTATTGTAGCTTCTCAAAGGAAGAGAAGCAATATTTTTCAGATTTTTTGATCGAATTTAAATCTTTACAAACTCCTACACAACTGCGTGTGACAGTTCTAAGTTTTAGCAATTCATGTCAAAGACAGAATTAAAGACCATGCCTGATTAAACATCCAGCGTGTATAACGAGGTGTAGAATGATACGGAAATGTTTTAAAACAACCTTCCCTGAGCTGTTTGCTTCTAAACGTTTTCCCTTTTCTATTTCAACAGCCCGGAAAATAACTTGAAATACAGAAATACAACGTAGGTCAGCAGCGTCTGAGAGATCATGATTTCAACGATCAGGTTGTAACAGGAGTTCTCTGTGCACTCCACGATGTGAAACTGATCACTGACAAGGCTGTAAACACTAGTAAACCAACCAAGTACATTACAGAGATGTTCGTACTGCTACAGTACATCTCCTACCTCAGCTCATCCACCTCAGCTTTAGAACGAGGCAAACTTGTCCACCGCTTTCTCAACGTCCATTTTGTGACATCGCCATTTTGTGACCTCCACATGAATTCATCCTCGCTGTCGATTTGATTTGCGCATGCTGACGCTCTGGTTCAGTTCATTTGGTCAAATTTTACAGAATAAAGGCGCTGTTTCCGCTCTGAAGCCAACGAACGAGCGACTGCAGGATGCCGATTCGTCGAAATTGACCTTAATTTATATGCGGGTGCAAAAACACAGCAAACGCTTATCTAACAGGGGTAGATACGATTGTCAGCGGCAAGGTACCTTTTCACTCTTTTTGATATAAATGATGGGACTTTTTTTCCTCCCTGGGGGAAGAATGACTTTGGAATGCACTATAATGGAAGAAAATGCATTCGCTAATGTGCGAGGGCGAGTGGAGGATTGCAATCTACCCCTCCCTCAAGACAAAATTGATATAAGCAATCCCGGAAGCCATCCCGGAAGTGCCGAAGAGTTTCAAGAGCGATGGCGGCTGAATGTGGGAACATAAAAGAAATACTGAAAAAGTTTTGCGAAGATGGTCTGATACGTAGTGAGTTTTTGCAAAGATGTGAGAAATTCTTAACTGAGGTAACAGTACCAGCAGAATGGAAAGGCAAAACTGACCACAAGCTTCAACAGGTCCATGAAACCTACCAGTACCGTGAAAAAGTAATCAGGGAATTTGTTGGCGAAAAGAAATCAGAACAGTTTAAAGTATCGCGAAAAACCATGACACAGTTTTTTGAAGAACTTGAACGTTTCGCAAATTCTGCAGAAACTAATAACACTTTGACTGATCCAGATTACAAAAGTTGTAAAAGCAGGCCAGCTATCTCTGATCTGTTTGGTGAAGATGATGTCAAGTTACAAGGTGTTGTAGTTCGAAAAACAGACCAGAACGCATGGGTTTTGGTGAAAAATGAACAAGAACTTATTGTTGACCTTCAAGCCCACGAGAAGGACAGTTTCAGCTCGGGATTCCCTCTTAAAGTGGGCGACATTGTTGAGGTTACAAGATTTCAGAGAGAAACGGAAACAATCCTGGAAACAGATGTAATATGGTAAGTGAAATGTGTTGAACTTTATCTATGATGTATGGAAATGGGTGTGATTTAACTGTGCAAAATATTTTTAGAAGGAGTAACTACACTACCATACCCTTTTCAACAAATTGATATTAATATATTTACGTAAACCCCCCTGGGTTTTATTGTCCCTTTTTTGTTGGTCTTCAACCCCATCGTCAGCTGTTCATGTACTCAGTTTTTTCTTTAGTCATTTTTTCTTTGATCTTTTTCAGCTGTTACCATTTATGTGAGACTGAAATTAAATTTTTCTTGGATTACATGCTAAAGGTATTCCAAACTGATGGCTCAACTGCTGCAGTAACTGAGATAATGAGGTAAAAAAAGTAAAACTGGATTGTAGCTCGGTTATGATCCAGGGAAGATTGTTGTGCAGTGAAAAATTAAGACTTAATGACTGAACCCAAGGGGAACAGTGAATTTTGTTTCCCAAGAATCTCAATGTTTTGCAAGATGAAGTGGAGGGAAACATTGAGATTTAAGGGAAACAAAATTCACTGTTCCCCAAGGGACCAGTCATTAAGTGATTTGTTACAAAGCAAAACAAACTGGTCAAGCCGGTGGAAAACAAATAATCACTTTACTGACAAATGACGTGCAACACTGGTCAACATTTTGCGGGTAACAGTGAACTGTTTCCTTTTTGACGTCATAGTTTTCAAAATGTTGCCCACTCATGGCATTTGGTGGGAAACAGTTCCACTGTTACGTGTCGTGACCATGTACTAGCTGCCAATGAATGGGGGCACTGCGGTGGGAAAAATGCCAGCCTGATATAACAATTACTATTATTAAGAACAGATTTCATTTATCTATGTCTTAAAAGAGTGAAATTGCAGATCATGAAACTAAATATTACTTTTATAAACATTTTCCATGCTTCTGTTATAGGTGTCACGCTGTTTGGGATTACATTCTTCAGCTTTCAAAGGATACAAGTGACAACCAGATCATGAGCGAGAATGTCTTGTACATTATTGAAGAGATATGTTCCAGCTCTCAGGGGAAAATTCCATCAGTTGTTGAAAAAATTGTACAACAATTTACAGAGAGTGTATTCTTCAAATCAATTTTTCCTATCTTTGTTGAGAACACAGCAAAAGGAAGTTGCAGCAGGTATTAGTTTTGCAAACAAAATTTTAATGGAGATTGACTGATTTATTGAACACTCAGTGATTTAACCTCCCTGTGTACAAACTGGTACCTAAAGTAAATTTTAACTTAACAGTTAACATGCATCAGCATTTATATTATTACATAACATTCAAGCTACCATGGGAACCGGCTATTTTGGTATTCTCTGTATTGAGCTGGACCTATCATGCAACTGGAAGGCTCATGCAGAGGGAATATCAGAAAAAAAGAGATAAACATCATTTGTATTCGAAAAGACTCCCCGCATTAGCCTTATGCAGTTGCAAGCTAGTTCAAGTCCAGTACCGAGAAAGTGTCAAAAAGCAAGTAATACAAATTTACTTACATCTGATGGTGATGTTACATCAGTGGCTCCTAACAAAAGAACAGCATTATTGTCAAAAGTTAAATGCGGGCCTGATGGGCCACTTGGCTCATATATGCAGACTTTACCTCACCTTAGCAGCCACTTCTCTACAACATCCGCTTTTCTCTGTCCCCAAGGTGGCCACCATACATGTGGAGAGGTCTGACTGTTGTGTTTGCTTCTGTAATTTTCAGTCAACCCTTCAAAACTGTTCAGAGCATTCTGGTGCATGTCCTTGGTGTTTCGCCAGCTTCTGGTCCAAGAGTGTTGCCAATAGCAAAAGTTCTTGCTGAAAGCTTGTTAAACGACTCTAATGGGCAGGCTGCTTTAGATTTCTTGGAAAAATTGTCTCTGACCATTGCCATTAAGGTTCCAGGAGCCCATGGAGATCTTGAAGCTTTACCATGGGAAGAATTTCCGTTGTTACCAGTGAATGAAGAAATTCAAAGAGATACCTGTGGTAAGTCAATATAATTGTATTTAATGTACTTTGACCTCCCTGTACAACCACCTTCCATGCCATAAGTAGAAATGTTTGNGGGGGCTAATTATATTTAATGTACTTTGACCTCCCTGTACAACCACCTTCCATAAGCAGAAATGTTGCTTTGCTTCTGAGATCTTAGCCTGTGAATATAGCCACCTCTCATCGCCCACTGCTGAAGGTTGTTGTGCGCAACAACCCTCGGCAGTGGGTGATGAGAGGTGGCTGTATTCGCGGGCTACTGAGATCTCTAATGTCAGATATACCAAAATGATCATGTACAAATCATGTGTTTCATCACCATCTCTTCTGAGATCGCACAAACAATGTCATGCACATGCACAAGTTATGCAATGAATGTACTGTACATGACCCACAGTCGAGTAACATACATTGTGAAATCATTTATTTTAAATTTTGTGTCCCATCATCAGCCAAGATAGCAACTATTGTAATTAATTAATGATTTCACTTGTTTTAAGGTTCTGAAACAAAAGACTTGCCAGTGATAAAAAAGAAGGGCAAGTATGAATCAGAAAAGGAGTACTTGGATACTTATTTTAAACTTCTCAGAGAGGAATGTCATCACAAGATCACAAAAGGAATCTCAGATTTTTTGAATAAAGGAGAGTGTGATTCAAAAGATGTGATGTTGTACAGGTTGGAATAAGTTTTCTTGATGTTCTGAAGATAAATTTAAAAAATTTAGTGAATATTAAAAAAGTGAGTGTTGTTGTTCCTATATAGATTGTTGTGTATTCACAAAAGGGCCGGGAACACAGTAAAACCAAATCAAGATGGCGGTAAGAACAGTTTTAATGCAGACAACAAGAACCTCGTGTACAATACCAAATATGGAAAATGGATCACGTGATACTAGCTCTTTATTAAATCCATTTTGAAATCACTGGTTATCCTCGCAATCTGATTGGCTCAATCGCATCTTTTTCTCAGCTAATGAGAATGGGTCACTAAAACAAAACAATCAAGCAGATTTCAAGGTTAGTTTAAAATAATCAATAAAATTTCAGGAAAATGAAAGGCAAAAAGCCACTGTGTGGAGAATTTTGCAACTACTATTGCCAAAACTTTGTTGTTATGGTTGTTTTTTTTTTCCAAAAAAATTGACGAATTTAATTAATTACAGTTTTTGAATGACGATTATGAGCTCCTTTAGGCTGAAGACCTACTTTACTGGAAGTTTCCAAAGAAGTTCTAATTACCGGGTATTATCAATTAAAGATTCTTGCCATGTTAGTTATTAATATTTAGAATGTTGTTTTTAGGATTACGTTGACTCGCAAAGGTCTTCTCACCAAGCATCGTGAAAACTCTCCAACTACCATGTCAATTCAATTAGAATTTACATGTAAGCTGGATTCTCAGGAAACTATTGACTGGGGGTGAGCATTTTTTGCCATTTCTAAAATAATAATTGACAATAGTGTCATAATTACAATTATTAGGTAAGTAACTAAAGAATATTTAGTTAGACCTGAAAACTACAATAATTGTAGTTAATCACAACTTTTATAGTTAAATGTGAACTAACTTATATAATTAGTGACAATGTAATAAATATATTTATTACTCTATGACAAGCCTGTAAAGAAATTTAAATAGAATCTTATGTACCACATAATATTAGGCACCAGTCTGTAGGATGAAAAGCATGCACCCAGGTTAATTTAAGATTTTTATTTATCTTTTCTATAGGTCCACAAATTGGCTTCGGTATGGAAATTTAGTTTGTATTTCATTTGATGGAACATTTAAACCACCTGTTTGGGCAATGCTGGAAAACGTGGATCATGAGCAAAGGTTGGTCAACCAAACATTAAGTGTTAGGGTTAAGTTTACTTCCCACCTTCAAGGGCACAAAAAATAGTTTTTTCTTTTATTTAACAAAGTTTAAGTCAGTCTATCTAATGTTCACAAAAGAAAAATATTGAAAAACTCAA